CATGCGTCACGCACACCCAGTTCGGCACACCCCTCACACTGGCCCCAGTGCCACCGCCCGCATGCGTCACGCACACTTATTTCGGCACGCCCACACGTTTCGCAGCACCATAACCTCATGCCCGTTGAGAATAAACACTAGCGGGGTTCAGGGAGAGATAATAAAAGTAGCCCAGCAGACCTCAGCATAATCTCGAAGTAAGAGATGATCAAGAGGAGACCAAGCCGATCACGTTTTGAGACATCCTTGGCGTTTAGTTTTCATAGAAATATCCTCAACAATGGGCGGAGGAATGGAGGAAACTATATATAAAAAATAAAAATAAAAATAATAAGGAATACAATAAAAGACATGATAGGAGGAGGAGAAGGAGGAACAGAAGAAACAATCTCGAGTTTCAAATCTATTAGATTTTATTTACAAGCGCTTTATGAAAATTGTTGTTTTGTAAGTGCTCGTGTAGGGTAGCTCATGTGCCTCAATTTCCATGGATAATCAACCCCAGAGATAAAACAAGTTCCGGCGAGCGTGGGGACAGAGAGAAATATAAAATAAGAAGAATACAGTAGAATAGTAATAAGAAAGAAGAAGAAGAGGAACATAATAAGATGACGAAGAAAGGAAAAACTCAAAGTTCCAAATCTATCAATTTTAATTTACAAGCGCTTTATGAAACTTGATGTTTTAAGTGCTCGTGTAAGGTAGCTCATGTGCTTCATTTTCCATGGCTAATCAACCCCATGTATAAAAAAGTTCAGGCGAACGTGAGGACAGATAGAAATATAAAATAAGAAGAGGAAAGTCGAATAATAATAAGAAGAGAAGAATAAGAGAAGAAAAAGAAGAAAAGAAGAAGAACGGACAAATAGAAAGTTCCAAATCTATCAAGTTTAATTTACAAGCGCTTTATGAAAATTGATTTTTTTAAGTGCTCATGTAGGCTCATGTGCTCCCCTTTCCACGGATAATCAACCCCAGAGATAAAAAAGTTCAGGCGCGCGCGGGGCTATATACATATATAAAAAGGAAGATAATACAAATTATAAATAAAAAGAAAAAAACTTGCTGGTTTAGCTTGAAACATCCTTGAGACATCCTTGGAACATTGCTCGTTTCGTTTGAGTCTGCCTCCCAAAATTTTTGGTTTCGCTTGAGACATCCTTGAAACATTGCTCGTTTCGTTTGAGTCTGCCTCCCAAAATTATTGGTTTCGCTTGACACATCCTGAAAAGTGTGATCGCTTCGCTTGATGTTGCTATATCAACATCGCTTGATGTTGCTATCTCAACATAGCGTTTCGAGGTGATAATGAAGTTCGGCCTCAGCGCTCGCCGCCCAATTTGAATTTTGTATAGGGCGACGATAATCAACTCTAAACACTGAAGGGGGGGGGTCCCTTTATTATCATCGGCATGCGGTTAGGGAGCTTCACCGACGGCCCCAATGGCTGCGTTCGCATGCGCCCACACCTCTCACGCGTTTTGTGGCCGCATAAAGAATTCCACCGACGGCCCCAGTGGCTGCTTTCGCATGCGCCCACCGGATAAATTTGGGCACACCGCTCATATGTTTCGTGGCCCTATAGGGAGCTCCTCCGAATGCGGTGCATTTAACGACGGTGCTGACATCTGCCGTTTTTTTTTTGTTCTTCCGCCAGGCTAATTTGTCCATATCTTAATGTTTTTTTCCGGGGGGGGGGGACCCCGAAATATTTGATTTTCGATTTCCAGACGGTTTGATATGCCAAACTATTTCTGTACCTGTGACTGGATCTGTTTGATTTATCTTCTCGCGAAACTTTTCCTCATATGTTTTGAACCCCGCAAATCGGGAAACGGAATTGTATGCAAATGGACACCCGTTTCGGTACATCCAAGTTGATAATAAAATAAAGCCCGCGTAATAGAATTGTCTGGCTAAGGCCAAACATATGTTGTTAAACAAAAGGTTATGTAATGGAAACCTGTGTGCAGAAATGTAATCCGATGTCTTTCGGCAGCGACATCAATTCTTAGGGCGGCCACCCTTCCAAATCGTAGAATTATCTCGCATTATTTTTCCAAACACCACGGCCCTGTCCACCAGAAACTGGGATCATGTTCCCAACTGTGATTCCTTGTCTGATCGTTTGTTCGTGCAGTGGAGGAGGTCCAACAAAAATGAGAGACAAGCAGAATTAAACAAAACATATGACAAGTCACTTCGTAGCCGTATAGGTGCAAGTCGTCGCTGTAGAATCGAACGACCCGATGCATTTCGTCGTCGTGCAGGTCGTCGCTGTATGTGAAATAATTTGATTTGGAACCAATTCCTGTAATAAACCGAACTTTTTTTGTAGATTTCTGGTTGATTGGGCGATTTTCTTTCTGGCGGTCTTCGATTCTATTAACCTTGTCTCCAGTTCCGTCGTGAGTTATCTGCGGTTCCATAACCTACTCTTTGACACGTGGAGTCTTTGATTCGTCGCGCGTGGTCGGTCTCTGACGCGGCACGCACAGAATGTGATTCGCAGCCCAATCTGTGATTCAATATTTGGTTTGTGATTCGGAACCTGCCGCGATTTGGAAAATGCGCAAATTGTGTAATAATCTGATTAATGAAACACGTGCGAAAACGATTACGGCAAATACTCACACAAGTGTATAGCTAGAACCGGCATCGGCGGATACCAGAACCAATATTCATGACATTGAAACCAATGTCGGTGAATCCGCCGATCCGGCGTGTGAGTTTCTGAGAGCGTGGGCTTGAGCTCGCTCAAGCTTCGCTCTCGGGGGGGGTCGGGATCCGGCGAATTATCCACGCAAATCAGTGAATGCTCCAGCGCGGGGGGGGGTGTCCAAGAGTCGAGGGGAGCTCGAGCGAGGACGGGGGAGCTCGAGCGAGGACGGGGGTGGGGGGGGGTCGAGCTCAAGCGGGGGGGGGGGTCCAAGGAGGAAGCTCGAGCGGGGACGGAGGAGGGGGTCGAGCTGAAGCGGGGGGGGGTCAGCGCGGAGGGGGGGGGGTCCAAGAATCGAGAGGGGAGGGGGAGCTCGAGCGAGGACGGGGGGGGGGTCGAACAGAGGAGGGGTCGAGCTCAAGGGGGGGGGGGGGGGTCAGCGCAGGGGGGGGGGGGGGGGGTCCAAGAATCGAGAGGGGGGGGGGAGCTCGAGCAGCGAGGACGGGGGGGGGGGTCGAGCTCAAGCGGGGGGGGGGTCCAAGGAGGAAGCTCGAGCGGGGACGGAGGGGGGTCGAGCTCAAGCGGGGGGGGGGTCAGCGCGGGGGTGGGGGGACGGGGGGGGTCGAGCTCAAGCGGGGGGGGGGGGTCAGCGCGGGGGGGGGGGGTCCAAGAATCGAGGGGGGGGGGGAGCTCGAGCGAGGGACGGGGGGGGGGGTCGAACTCAAGCGGGGGGGCGGGGGTCCAAGGAGGAAGCTCGAGCGGGGACGGAGGGGGGGGTCGAGCTCAAGCGGGGGGGGGGTCCAAGAGACCGGGGAGGGCAGCGGGGGGAGGAGGGACGTCGTCGTCATCATCGTCCGTCGTTGACCCGGTCGTCGGTCGTCGTCGTCGTCATCGTCCGTTCCCACACGCATCGGGAGCGCCCTGGATCGGCGGCACTGGCCGGAGGCCACTGCAATATCGTGATCAACGAAATTCTTGCGCATGGTAAACTACTACTGTAACGTACGGTGCAACAACGAAGAATGGCCAATTGTCGCATCAACGTTAGGTGGGCGGGCGCACGGCAATCACATGAAAATAACTGCGGAGCGCGTCCTCATAGAAACTGGCAACGTCATGTCAGACAAACACATTGAACGACAACTATGCCTATGCCGAACTCACATCCCAGTGGCGTGCAACGACCTTCAATATTATCGCTCCCCACGTCGCTCAAGGGTTACTCTTGTTTGGCGAGCATACTTGCAATCGTATCACTGGTCTTTGGGATTGTGGGTCATGGCCGCGGACGAGCAACTATAGAAAACTGTTTTTGGAAACCAAAGATAGCAACACAAACAACAATGATCCGCAAGGGTATTGCTCTAACCTTGCAACAAATATGGTGGGAAGAACATAACGGAAACCAAAACCAAGTATGGTATACACACATGCACATCCAATTCCTGAGGGGGGTGGCGGCTGTACTGGCACTTACGCTATTGTAACGCATGTTCCGATGCTGGTGTCGAACAAGCCCGTCGCGGTGCTCACCGCGCACGTACACACAACCACGCACACACGTACCAGAAACCTGTACAGACCCAGAATGCGGCCCGAGATTGATCCATAGTACGGTCGGATGCTGATCCATATTGCAGTTGACCATTGACGCGGAATGCGTTTCGAGATTGATCTAGAATACGCCCGAGACGCATGGATGTCTCGGCTTTCCCCTTTGCGGTCTTGGTCAAATCTCAGAGTGTCGTCGGCGGGGCAGATAAAATGAAGACGACAGGCGACTCCGTCCTCGTTGGAAGGGGTGACATGCGTGGCAGTAGAGAAAGGAAGCCTGAGAAGAGGAAGACATGCAACCAGAAACTATTCAAGCTGCTGGAGCTCGGCGACCTGTACCTCGGGACTGATTCTGCATCCTGCATGCTTTTTGTTGAGTACAACTTAGCGGGCAAAGAGCGGTATAGCACAAACTGTTCCGCCGTCGGGAACGCCTGAGGCGGCTTTAAGTTTGCTGCTACGGTGGCTTTAAGTTTGCTGCTAATGGGCACAACCTTTCCAGCCGCCCTGGGACAGGCGTCCCCGATCGAGGGGCAACTTACACTATGAAGGGAGGGAACGGGCCCAGACGCCGACAACTGCGAAATACCTTTGGCGCGATTTCGCCGAGCCGCCAGGAGATCTAGGACGAGACGGGCAGAGGGCGATGGCGGCGGCGATGGCGAACGCGACCACGACGACCAGGGACGGCGGCGACTTCCACGGCGGCGACGACGTCGGCGGCGGCAGTGGTTGCGCCGATGCCGACGACGGCGTCGGCGACGACGGCAGCGACGCGGAGAAGGATGAGCGCAGCACGCCCTCGCTGCGCTCTCAGTCGCCTGTGGCCTGCCGCTGGCCCTCCACCAGCCCCAGCTGCAGCCGCAGCGCGCGCCCGAAGTCCGGCGCCGAGCCGCGGCAGGTGGGGCGCAGCAGCGGCGGCTGCTGGGGGCACTGAGGGGCCTCCTCGAGAGCGAACCACGAGGGCGCCTCCGAGGCCCGCAGCCTGCGCTGCCACTCCTACGGGGGGCGGGAGGACACAGCAGGCGCGCGGGAGTGCACGCTCGACGTCGGCAGCGCTCGCAGAAGCGAGGGCGGGGAGGGCAAGGATACGATGGCGTGGGGCCCCTCCAGGGACTCAAGCTTAGCCGACAGCGGCGTGCTGCTCAAAAAAACCGACCGCATCGTTCACCGTTTGGTGGAACTCGCCAGGTGTTCCGACCAACGTCCACATCAATAGAAACCACGGAAGTTTCCGCACACTTCCGCTTTCCTCACAGCCCACCCCTGCGCCCAGGCGTGCAGGGATGGGGACCTGCTGCCAACGGAGAGATCGCCCGTGGACTTCAAAAGTTTGCGCTGTGGGTCACCTGACGTCGCGCCTCGCACCCCCGCGCACCGCGATCTTCGCGCCCTCTCGCAGCGCTCGTCGCCAAAGCGGGGCGAGCCCTGCGGCCCAGGGCCCGAAGCGCGAGGCGCGATCCTCCTCGCGCACCCTGCACGTGCACAATCTCTAGGCCCCCGATCCTGCTCGTCCGCCGTCTGCGGCCTTCCCCCGCCGGTGCCGTCCACGACGGACCTGAACTCCTTGTTCATCTCGTGGCGCTGGGCGCGGGCCCTCCACTCGTCGCGCTCCCGGGCCACCACGGCGGCGCTCGCCTGCGCGTCGGCCAGTGCCTGCTCCAGCTCCAGCGACCTGGCGCGCCACCTCTCCACCTCCGCCTGCTGCGCCGCGAGCTGCGCGCTCCAGACTTGATACTGGTCCGCCGCGACGCTCTCCTTTTTGAGGGGTCGCGGAAGGTGCCCCTGGCCCAAGGCGCCCCCAGCGTTTCGCTCCATGCTGGCGCTCCTTGGGCCTGGAAGCCGTGGGGGGGCCTTCAATTGGAAATCCTTGGGGGCACCTTGGCCCAGGGGCACCTTTAGCAACACCCGACTCCTCTGGACACCCGGCCGTCCGCCGGAGCTCGGACATGAACTGGCGCCGCTGATCCAAAGACCACCTTGGCATTAGGTCGGGCGTGTCAATCTACAGGAAGATCCTTCAATCATAGTAGCCACATATCATGAAAACACTTTTCTTGCTAATGCGAATATGGATGTGATTATGATTCGGAACATGATCATAACTAAGTCGTAGTAGAAGTAATGGTAGTGGTAGTGGTAGTAGTAGTAGTAGTAGTAGTAGCAGTAGTGGTAGTGGATCTTAATATTGTTATTATTAGTCGTCGTAGTAGTAGTAGTGGTAACAGTAGTAGAAACACTAGCAGTAGTAGTAGTAGTAGTAGTAGTAGTAGTAGTAGTAGTAGTAGTAGTAATCGTATCAGTAGTATTAGTACTAGTATGATTATTATTAGTAGTAGTGGTAGTAATAGTAGTAGTAGTAGTAGTAGTAGTAGTAGTAGTAGTAGTAGTAGTAGTAGTAGTAGTAGTAGTAGTATAGTAGTAGTAGTAGTAGTAGTAGTAGTAGTAGTAGTAGTAGTAGTAGTAGTAGTAGTAGTAGTAGTAGTAGTAGTAGTAGTAGTAGTAGTAGTAGTAGTAGTAGTAGTAGTAGTAGTAGTAGCAGTAGTAGTCGTAGTAAAGTAGTAGTAGTAGTAGTAGTAGTAGTAGTAGTAGTAGTAGTAGTAGTAGTAGTAGTAGTAGTAGTAGTAGCAGCAGCAGCAGCAGCAGCAGCAGCAGTAGTAGTAGTAGTAGTAGTAGTAGTAGTAGCAGTAGTAGTAGTAGTAGTAGAGTAGAGTAGTAGTAGTAGTAGTAGTAGTAGTAGTAGTAGTAGTAGTAGTAGTAGTAGTAGTAGTAGTAGTAGTAGTAGTAGTAGTAGTAGTAGTAGTAGTAGTAGTAGTAGTAGTAGTAGTAGTAGTAGTAGTAGTAGTAGTAGTAGTAGTAGTAGTAGTGATGGTGGTGGTGTCGGTGGTGGTGGTGGGGGTGGGTGTAGCAATCGTAGTACCCTTTATATGATCCTTGCAATACAGCGAAATGGTGTTGACTATTAGCATTTTCCTTCAATATCTGCTCGAAGGAGGGCATGGCCGACCTAATCTTAGCACGAAGGGACCGGGTCCCGAGGGGCCCTGGACCCTGGGCCTTGCCCTGGGGCCAATCCTTCCTCTCCCGAATCGTCTCCTGACGGTCCTGGGGCCCGTGGAGGGCCCCGGGGAGCCCCCCCAACGGAGAAAAATCTCGAGTGAAGAAGAAAACTGCATAAGCAGAAACTTTTGGCGCTCCGCGCGGACTTCTTGGATCCGCGCTGGACCCCTCTCCCTTGCGCGCGGAGCGCGCCAAGGGCGGCGCCTCGGAAGCGCAGCCAGGGGGTGCCAGCGCGATCCAAGAATTCCGCGCGGAGCGCCAAAAGTTTATATTTATGCAGTTTTTTCTTGTTCGACTTAGGTTTCGTTCCCCTCATGACCCCTTTCCTTCATGCAAAGGCCTCCCAGATGGGGACCGAGTAGATGGGGTCTGAAGATCGCGTCGTCGTCGCCGATGCATATGCATTGGCGACATCGGCGAAGCATCGGCGCCGCCGGCATGGAGAAAGTCGGGCTCCACATCGAGCCGCGTCGCCGATGTATCGGCGATATGGCGATCCTTCCTTCGACTTCTTTCACTCCGACACCATCTACGGTCGGGAACTCTTGGACAGCGCGTCGCCTGGGAGGCCCCGGCGTCATGCTATGCCTTGCGAGTGGATGGTGTGTCGCTCCGTTCCGCGGGACGGGAAACTCACGAAAGCTCGAGCCATTGACGCCTCGGGACCGCGAAGTGGATAGCGTGCAGCTCCAGAGAGCGGTGGGCCAGAACCGGCGGAGCGACAAGCTACAGAGTGGGCACGGCCGCAAAAACCCTTGCAAGAAACCCAACGCTGAAAACCCACGCGCGAGGTGCACCTGAGGGGAAACCCCGATCACCCTGAACGCAGCGGCTTCTTCAACGGCTGTAGTCAATCACCGCGCAGCGTGCGGAGCGAAGAATCCCGGCATACCCTGACGACAAGCAGATGGCTTCTTGATGCGCGACCCCACAGTACGACAGGTTCGTGTCGTGCCGACTCCGGCCTTGGTTCCTGACACCGCGGGGATCGTTCAACCTTGAACGATCGGCCGCTTCCGCTTCGTCCAATCGTTCAACATCGACCGATTCTGGGTCGCCGCCGGCATTCAACGTTGAGCGCCGGCGGCGGGGTCGCCGCTGGTCGGCACGACAGGGACCTACAGTACCCGCAGACTCCCGACCGCATGAGGCGGGCTCTGGAAACCCGGAGCCCACACGCGGCCGGCCCTCCGACCGCAGATCCGTGGTTAGGCCGGGCGTGTCCTCCTACAGGGGCCTTCTGGATGAAAATGAAACAATCTCGGGGGAAAACAAACCTACCTCGCTTTTGACCACCCTCGCTTCCAAGAGATACCAAACGATGCCAAATTGCGGCCTGTACTGGTCAGGCCGCTTGACGAGGAGGCGCGCGGTACGGCTTGGTTTTGCCTGGAAGCGAAAGCGGGGTAGGTAATTCACGCTCTGACAATCGCCAGAACATGCAGCAGAAGATGGCCCCAAAATGCTCAAGAGCTCGTCCCCAGACTATTTGTTGACTCTTTCGAACCCCTCGGCGGTGGACAAACCTCCCTTTAGTAAACCTCCCCTTCGTGAAGACGGCCTGGGACCCGGGGACCGAAACCGACGGACCTGGACATGCAAAGATGACGGCGGCGATGCCCTCTCGCGAAGCGACAACGGCCAATTCCTTAATCGACGTGTCAGGGCAGGAGGCCTGTCCGGCCCCGAATCTGCCTCCTGCAGAGGGACACGCCCGACTGAAGTTCGGGTCGGGCGAAAGGGGGGGATAGCAAAGGGGAGGCTTGAGAATCAGCTCACGTAGCTGATTTTCCTGGCGCCTCCCGGCGCCGGAGGCGGCCCTGTATCGAGGAATGGGCCCCTCGGTGGGGCCGAAACCAGCTGCGTGCAGCAAATTTCGTACCCCCCCCCCCTTTCCCAATCCCCCCCTTTCGTCCGGCCCGACGGGAAGTCTGTGGCGACCGCCGCAGGTCGGGGCCCCGCTCGCAGGTCGGTCGCCGCAGGGTAGGAGGTCCGTCCAGCCCCGAATGTCCCTCCTGCAGAGGGACACGCGACCGCAGGTCGGGGCGACCGTCACAGTCGCCACCGTCGACGGACGACGAACGACGGACGGCGACGACAACGACGACAGACGACGTCGACCACGACCATGACGACGACGACTACCGTCACGGTCGCCACCGTCGGCGGACGACGGACGACGGACGCGCGACGGAAGTCTGTGGCGCCCGCCGCAGGTCGGGGCCCTGCTCGCTGGTGGCGTGCCCCGCGGGCTGCGCCGGCGGCCGCGGCCGCGGCGCCCCGGCGGGCAGAGGCAGCCGGCCCTCGGCGTCCGCGAGGGGGCCCCTGCGCTCGGCCACGGCGTGGCCGCCCTGGACGCCGATCAGGGCGTAGGCCTCTGTGTATACACACACGGGGGGAGCAGGAGGCTACACTCAAGTCGGGCGTGCCCCCCTCTACAGGGGGATGTTCGACGAGGAATGAAAGATACCCCAAATTTGCTCCAAGATGTTTTTTTTTTTTTTTAATGCTGTAGAAATAGTCCCCAGACTATTTTTTGTCAATTTTTGAATTTTCCCCCTGTAGAGGGACAAGCCCGACTTGAGGCTACACCCGGCGGGAAGTTTCGGAGCTCCGCGCGGATGTCTTGGATCGGCGCTGGGCCGCTTGGTGCGCTCCGCGCGCCAGGGAGGGGGGCACAGCGCCGATCCGAGGGCTCCGCGCAGAGCTGCGAATTCTGTAGCGTTTGTGCAACTGCCATCGCTCGGACGTCAATTCCCTTGCGAATTTGTCGGTTTCGCGCGTAGAACTTCGCCAGATGATCAAAGATGCTCTTCGATTGTCCTCGCCGAGGAACAAAAAGCACACGTCCGAACGATGCCAAGTTCGAGCCTCATGCGGTTGCCCGCTGCCCGCGCAGGCCGCGGTGGCGCCCGCGTGCTGCAGCGCCCGCAGCGCCGCGGCGGACAGTCCCTCCAGGCCGCTGCCGCATATGGCGGCGAGCACGACATGGCCGTCGGGGACGGCGCCCAGGTCTGCCGCGAGCTGCGCGCTCGCGGACCGGCCAGACTCGGCGGTATCGTAGCACAGGGCCGATTGCACGCTGTACGAGACGGGCTCGATGATGAGAACGTTGAGGCCGCGCCTGTGGCTGGCGACACCGCCGCCGCCCAGGGGGACCCTCCGCCCATCCAAGTCCGCTGGTTCCCGCTTGCTCGGGGCGAACAGGCGTGTGAGATGTTTCCCTCTGTTGCCCACTCCCCAGGGATCCAGGAGGATCCCACTTTGACCTCGAGATGGCCCCAGGGTTGCCCACAAGTGCTTTCAAATGTTGGGGCACACGCGCTTCGAGGCGATGGCTCAGCCGATCAATATTCTGGCCAGGCAGCGCCCTGATTTGGAGATTCCTTTGCTCATCTGGGAATGCTCGCTAAACCATTAGTTTCCAGCATAGAAGAAGACGCCTGGCCATTCGAGGCTCATGCCCTACTACTTGCCCCTGACGCTTTCTCTCCTCCTCCTCCTCCTCCTCCTCCTCCGCCTCCTCCTCCTCCTGCCTCCTTGCACCTTGTCCTTCCCAGGTCAGCCTGGGGGCACGCCCAAGAACGGACCCCCTCGGCAGAACGGCGTGAACCTCCCACATAGAAATCGGCCGAGTTGCCGTGATTCAGGCCCGCGCTGACGACCCGCGCCACCTTGCGGGCCAAGGCCCCGGAGCGCCGCAGGGCAGCTGCCTCACCGCCCCCCGAAGGAGCCGCCCCCGCGCCGCGGCTGGCGGCGGCAGCGCCGCAGACCTCGTCCTGCGGCCGCCCCTGCCAGGGCGCCCAGCCGGGCAGCTCGGCGCCGCAGCTCGGGCACTCCGGCGGCGGGGCGGCTGCAGAGCGGCGCCGCGCCAGGTCGGTAACGCCGCCGCCGCCGCCGCCGCCGCGCGGCTCTGGGCCCGCGACGCTGGGCGAGGCGCTGCGCGTGCGCCGCGGCGCCGAGGAGCTCTGGGCCCACGCGGGCCGGCGGAGCCGCAGCTCCTCGGACCTGCCAGCGGAGCGGGCGGTGCACAGCGCCCGCGTCAGCGTCGCAGTGCCCGGCGAGACGGGCGCGCGCGGGTCCACCTCCAGGCTCGTGACGTGCAGGCAGCCCGGGCGCGACACCGGGTACGCCGGCCGGGGGCGGCGGCGAAGCGTGGCGGGCGGGGTGGAGGCGGCTCTGGCCTGGCTCTGCGCTCGCCGCCCAGGCGAGGCCGTGCGCCGCGAGGCCGCGGGGGGCGCGGGCGACGGGCGCCCGTCGAGCCGCTTCCCGCGCAGGAAGGCGCCGAGCAGCCAGTCGTCCGCGCCGGGCGGCACGCTCCTCGGCCGAGGGGCAGCCGCTCCGTCGGGCGCCGTGCCCAGGAGGTGCAGCAGGGCGGCGTCGTCCCGGGAGGCCTCCGCCGCGTGGCCGAGGCTGAGGCGCGCCGCGGCTGGCGCGGACGCCAGCCGGGTCGACTCGGCCGCCTCGAGCAGCTCCCGCGCCTCGCCAGCTTCCAGCCCCCCGGGGAGTCGGAGCGGCCGGCGCTGCAGCAGCGGGACGTCGCCAGGCAGGAAGCACGCGGCGCCCGCGGCCTCGGCCATCAGCAGCAGCGGGGCGCCGCGCGACCCAGCCAGGCTCCTCAGCAGGGCGCCGTACAAGCTCTCCACCAGCTGGGAGGCGAGCCCGGGGTACTCCCGGGCCAGCTCCTCCAGGTCGCTCCGCCAGAGCAGGGCGGCGTGCGTGGGGCGCGCGGCGAAGACGTCGACGCTGCACGGCCGGACGCTCCCGAGCGCGCTCTCGAGGCCCACGCAGCTGCCCGGCTCGAACCACACCGACGGGGAGTCCGCTTCGTCTTCGAAGCCCGTCAGCTTGCCGTCCAGCACGACGAGCGCCGCAGACATCGGCTCGCCCCTCGACAGCACGCGGTCGCTGGCGCGCCAGTGGGTCACCCGGATCCTGCACGCCAGCACCAGCAGCGCGCGGTAGTCCACGTCTGCGAAGATCATGCCGCGCTTGCGGAGGTCGAGCAGCATGTCTAGCACGCGACGCTCGTGGAACGCCACGATGGGCCACCTGACGCCGCTGGACAGGGGGCAGCCGCAGAAGAAGCTGCACGCCGCGTCCGCCAGCCAGCCGAGCAGGGCCCGCTGCAGCGCCAGGCGCAGCGCGGGCCGCTCGCTCTGAAGGGCCTCCAACTGGTCGTAGCTGACCACCGCGACGTAGCCCGCCTCGATGCCTCGGAGCGTGTAGGCGCGCACGTGGCTCTGCTTGAAGCGCCCGGCCCGCGTGGCGCCCACCAGCGCGCCCTCGCCGTGCTCCCCCAGGGCCAGCTCCAGACCGTCCTCCTTCGGCACCACCGCCTTCGCCCGGCCGCTCAGCAGCACGCCGAACCACGTGGCCGGCTCGCCGCGCGCGAAGAGCGGCTCGGAGCGCTGGAAGCCCAGCGGCGAGCAGAGCTCCGCGAACGCCCGCAGCTCCTCCTGCCGCAGCTCGGCGAAGAGCCCGCCGTCGCGGCGCAGACGCCGCAGCACCTCCGAGCATTGTTTGGCCAGTCCCTGTCCCCACCAGAGTGGCCCTGGCCCCGCTGGCCGATGATTACCTTCTGGATGTGGATATGGGCAGTTCCCGCTGGGTTTTGCGGGGCATATCCCCGATCGTGGAGGTGGTGGAATGGTGGGGATCGGGATGGGGAGAGGGATCGGTTAGCTTGCCGTCGCTCGGACGTCCATTTCCCGTCTATTTTTCGGTTTCGTGCGTGTTTTTTTTGCTCGATGGTCCAGGATGGTCCTCGATGGTTCTCGCCGAGAAAAAAATGCACACGTCCGAGCGATGCCAAGTTGGTCGATGCCGAGCCTCCAGCGTATCCGCCGCCCCGAGCTCGCGCCGCGGCGGGCGGACCCTGCCCCGCAGGGGCAGCGCCCACAGTGGTGCGGGCGGCTCCGCCAGCGCGCCGCCGTCGTCGGCGTCCATCGGCGGGCCGGCGGTGGTGACATCGATGGCGGGCGGGCGCTGCGAGCGGCCTGGGGCCCAAAGGTGGCTGCGGGGCGGGGTGCCTGAGAGCCTCGGGGTAGCGGATCTGCTTGCCTCTGGGCAGCACGAGCTTTTGCTGACCCAGGCGTGCGATGTCAGGACGATTTCGATTTCGGTGCGCGGACCCCGAAGTCCCGACCCTTCCCCGAGTAGTTGTTTGACGGTCCAGAGGCCTGGACTCTCGGACGCGGGCCCCGTCTAGGAGGCCACTGACCTTGCAGTCCTTGGGGGGCGGGCAGGGGTCCTCTGCAGACCGCGTGTCGCTGCCCTGCCCCTGCAAGCAGGAACTACCTTCTGGAGGGGAGGGGGTAGGGGGGCACAAGGGCACAAACGGCAAGCAGGACGAGGAGGAGGAGTAGGAGGAGGAGGAGGAGGAGGAGGAGGAAGAGGTGGAGAAAAAGGAGGGGTCGGGTCGGAGGAAGGCACGGAGAAAGACAAGCAGACGAAGAAGCACACGGCACAACCTCAAACGGCGCGCAGAGCCAGGACGGGGGGGCCAGCGCAGATCCACGAAAGCTTCGCGGAGCTCCACCATTTCATATGTTTATGCAGTATGCAGTGCTTTCTTCTTCGGGCTTGGAGGGGGGAAAGGCGTGGGCCCCCTGCAGACCGCGCGTCGCTGTCCCTGCCACTGCCAGCGGCAACAGGCTTCCGGAGAGCGAGGAGGGGGGAGCGGGGAGAGCGAGGGCGCGGGAGGGGCCGGAGCGGGTTGGAGAGAAAGGAGGGGCGGCGGGTCGGAAGAAGGCGAGGAGACAGACACAGCGGCATGGAGCACAGACGCAGCGCGGGGCGCTCCAGGGGGGGGGGGGGGGCCGGCGCAACGCCAAGGAAGCTGTGCGGAGCTCCGAAAACTCTCTGTGCCTGTGCCGTACTGTCCTCCTCGAGGGCAAGGGGGAGGCGCGAGCCATCCGCAAAAACACGTGCCGCTGACCCTGCTCTGGAGGGGGCGGGGGGGTAGAGCGCGAGGGCGTGGGGCGTGGAGCAGGAGGAGAAGGTAAAAGGAGGAGGAGGAGGAGGAGGAGGAGGAGGAGGAGGAGGAGGAGGAGGAGAGAGGAGGGAGGAGGAGGAGGAGGAGGAGGAGGAGGAGGTGGAGTAGGAGAAGGAGGAGGATGATGATGAGGAGGAGGAGGAGGCGGAGAAGGAGGAGGAGAAGGATGAGGAGGAGGGGGAGGAGGAGGAAAGAGGAGGAGGCGGAGAAGGAGGAGGAGGAGGATGAGAAGGAGGAGAAGGAGGAGGAGGAATGGTAGAGGAGGAGGAGGAGGAGAAGGAGGGGGAGGAGGAAGAGAGGAGGAGGAGGTGGAGGAGGAGGAGAAGGAGGAGGAGAAGGGATGAGGAGGCGACGGAGAGAGAAGGAGGGAAGACTAGATAGGAGAAGGAGGAGGAGGAGGGCGGAGGAGGAGAAGGAGGAGGAGGAAGAGGAGGAGGAGGAGGAGGAGGAGGAGGAGGAGGAGGAGGAGGAGGAGGAGGACGGGGAGGAGGAGGAGGAGGAAGAGGAGGAGGAGGAGGAGAAGAAGGAGGAGGAGAAGGATGATGATGATGATGATGCTGATGATGATGATGATGATGATGATGATGATGATGATGATGATGATGATGATGATGATGATGATGATGATGCTGATGATGATGATGAGGAGGAGGAGGAGGAGGAGGAGGAGGAGGAGGAGGAGAGGAGGAGGAGGAGGAGGGAGGAGGAGGAGGAGGAGGAGGAGGAGGATGAGGAGGAGGGGGATGAGGAGAAGCAGAGGCGGAGGAGGAGGAGAAGGAGGAGGAGGAGGAGAAGGAGGAGGAGGAGAAGCAGGAGGAGGAGGGGGGGGGGGGGGGAGGCGGGGGGGGGGCAGAGAGGAGGAGGAGGAGGAGGAGGAGGAGGAGGAGGAGGAGGAGGAGGAGGAGGCGGAGTACATATACATACACATATTTATATATATAGGAGGAGGACGATGAGGAGGAGGAGGACGAGGACGAGGAGGAGGAGGAGGAGGATTAGATACATTCATATGTATATCTATAGCCATCTAGGAGGAAGAAGAGGAGAAGGAGGAGGAGGAGGAGGGGGAGGAGGAGGAGGAGGAGGAGGAGGAGGAGCAGGAGGAGCAGGAGCAGGAGGAGCAGGAGGAGGAGGAGGGGCGAAGCGGAGGAGCAGACTTGTGGAGGGAGGGGGACGAAGAAGTGCTTCGGGGCCCGAAGCCATTCCTCATCCCACCTCCCTCCAGAAGACATGCTCCTCCTGAAGGTGACCCCCGCCTCCCTCTCCTCGCTGCTCGCCAAACCTGGCTCGAACGCACCGACGCACCTCGGACAACCGCCAGCCCTGGGGCCCTATTCGGGCTCGGCGTGGCCCTGGCCTTTCGAACGCCCACAGAGGCCAGGCACATGTTCCGCCGACCCCTTCGAATTGACCCTGCCCTCACTCTCTTCTCCCGGGATGCCGCTGATCATGGGTCTTTCTTCACATGGAAGGTTCGCTCCGCCGCGGCAGCTTGTGTCGCTCGTCGCCACAGGATTCCTCGCGACATCATTGTGCACGCGCGTCACACACGACACTAATCTGGATAGAGCTCGATTAAGTTGTGATGGTCGTGATCAAACTCCTCGTCTCTGAGCAACCTCAAACGTCGTCGCCCCCAACATCTGATAGTCGTGGTCGAAGCCATCGTCGCTGGGCAACCTCAAACGTCGTCGCATCGCTCCTGCATTTACCATGGCCGTCGCTGGAGTCACCGCTGTCCAAATCAGGGAAATCCAGGCTCACGGGAGGCGGCCAAGATGCAGCAAAGAAGTGTTTTTTTCCGGCGCTGCTCGCCACTCGAGGGCGTGGCAAAGGCGGAGCCGGCGCCACCGCCTGCGCCTACCGCGCCGGCCACGCTGGCCGCCTGAGGCAGCCTGCCGCAGCTGACCCTGTGCTCCCGCCAGGCCGCGCGCTGGCAGCTGCTGGCGCAGTAGCGAGCCTGACGGCACCGCGAGCAGACGAAAGATGCCCCGAGTGCGCCGCAGGAGCTGCAGGCATCCCCCCGCGTGCAGGCGGCGGCCGGCTCTGGCACGCCGCCGGTGGGCTCCGCCGTGGCGGCGGCGGTGCCCACTGCGCCGGAGCAGCCGCGCCAGACGCCCTCCTTCGAGTAGGGGATCGACTGCAAAATTGATACCCCAACATGGACTTTCCCGTCGAATCTGCGAAGCATGGATATCATGCTCCCGAGATCTACGGAGGTTCCCAGGTATGTTTCACAGATTCGGCGGACAAATTCACTCTGGGGCAGATCGCTTCTGTAGTCGACCCCCTGCTCGACTCCTGTGACAGCACGGCCACCACCTCGACCTCCGCCAGCAGCGCTGCGCCCGGCTGCAGCGGCGCCCCCGGGGCCGCCGCGGAGACGGCCGCTGGCGCCAGCGCCACCCGCGTGCGCCCGGGGCCCCGCGGCGCGGCGGCCAGGGCCGCGCAGACCAGGGCGGACGTCCAGGGCTGCGACTTGGCGCCGAGCCGGAAGAACCGCGGGGGCGCTCCGTCGGGCAGCCTCGTGCTGAAGATGCCGGCGCCGTCCTCGCCGAGGAGCGTCGCGTGCGCCGCGCAGCCGTCGCCGTCGCAGAGCCTGGGCTCCGCGCAGCGCTCTGGCGCCTCCGCGGGTGCGGCGAGCGCGGCGCGCGCCGCCGCGAACTGGCAGACCCTGGCCTCGCTGGGCGCGAGAAACGCCGCCCTCGCCAGCGCGACAGAGCGCTGCCTCGCTGCGAATGCTCCGCTGTTCGACCGATTGACGACATGCCTGACCAGCAGCAGGGACGGCCTCAGCGTCAGCACCGCATGCCAACAGCCCCGTGGTACTGTGACGGCCTCGCCTGCACGGAGCACCGCCGTCCACAGCGCGCTGGGCTCGTCGACGACTGCCCCGTCACCCCACGGCTCGTAGCAGCTCTGCGTGTCGTCGAAGGGGTCTGGAGCGGCCTGGCGAAACTTCTCTCCTGCACTGCCGGAGCAGATCGTCACCTGCGCCTCGCCATCGAGCTGGTGGAGCAGCAGGTGCGTCTCCTCGACGTGGCTGGGGGAATGACAAGATACCGACATCGCGGTTTCCTGGACCTCTCCCAGCGCGCCTTCTGACCAAGATCAGGACGGGCATGCCCTCCTACAGGCAAATCTCGAGAAAAAGAAGCGTAGTCCTAGAACAAACACAAATTGCAAAAGAGCCCGACACATCGTCATCAGACTAATCCTTACTATGCTTGAATTTTCCTCCTGCAGAGTGACATGCCTGACCTAAGACAAGATACTGACACCGCTGTTCCCCGGACCTCTCCCGGCGCGCGCTCAGGATGCCGAGGCGGATGCAGCCGCGGCGGCGAGGGCCTCCGAGAGGACAAACGAAAGGAACCCTCCACAGGAAACCCAACCCTGAGATGCCGGGGATCCCATGGATTTTTGGCGTGGGAGCGTCAGCAAGCCCAAGAAATCCAAGGCACCCTGGAGGCAAGCAGGGTGTCTCTTGGCATGGGTCTCCACTGTACGGGTATCGGAACTTTTTCTACCCAGAACTTCCACCCCCCGCCGGAATCCGCGCAACATCGGTTCCCAGAGGCCTCCAGGAGCTCGTCCTGGCGAGTTTTTGCGAACCTTGTCCAGCTGTGGCGACGAGAACCTCCAGACACACCACAGCAACATCCAACTCGACGGCGCCGATCGACGACGACAACGACGACGACCTCGATTCTCCTCGACATGGCGGTGCAATCGCGTGCGCGCGCCCGGGGGCTCGATCCGCAGCTCGGCCCACTCGTCCTGCTTGCTGAGCGCGTTCTCCAGGAAGCCGGGTGCCGGCGGCAGCTGCGCGCTGCCCTCGCGGCCTGAGCGGGCGTGGGGGCACTGGATGCCCCCCTGGGGGTGCACAGCGACCTCCAGCACCTCCTCGGCACCTCCTCGGCACCTCCTCGGCACCTCCTCCTCTTCCTCCTCTTCCTCCTCTTCCTCCTCCTGCTCCCCCTCCTCCCAGATCCTTTTTGTCCACCCGACGCGCCAGACGCAAACAGCCCTGGCGCTCGCACCCCTCGCGGGAGCACTGAGACGAAGGCTCCGACTGACCGGCTTGCAGATGAAGATCGTCGGAGCCTTCCGAACAATCCAACATCAAAAACACCGTCGTGGGCACGTGGCCTTGCTGCTTCGAGAGGGAGGAGGGAGGGGGGGAGAAAAGGGGGGAGGGAGGGAGGGGAGGGGCGGGAGGGAGGGCTCTCTCTTCATCTACACAAGGGTCCTCCTCCCAGATCCGCCTCGGGGACTGGCAGCCTCCGCCGAGGAGCCGCCTCTCGCTGCTCCCGAGGCGGCGCTCCCTCCGCCACGCGACGCCGGGGCCCGCGGGCCTCTCCTGGCCTCGGCCTCGTCGGGGCCTCTGGCGCTTGCGCTCGGTTTCGCGTCTGCCATGCGGCTGCCTGCACCTCGGCCTTCCCCTCCACGCCATGCTTGGATCCTGGGGCGTAGTCGTTGGCCCTCAAGCACTGACTTCACACTCGGCCCTCGCTTCGTGCTCACACGTCTAAAGCTCGGGCTCTGCCTCGATTCCCATAGCTCCACATGTGCATCGAGTGGTCCTGAATTCATATGGTAGCCAGCGTGGGACCCAAATAGTGATGGGTCGTCATATCTATATCATTCGTACCCGGAAGAGTCTGTCTAGTTTATCGGGAGCGGGCGGCAGCCTGCTCATAGGTTGTCGTAGAACTTCCCCCTGGTAGTTTAGGGCCACCAGGATGCCCGCCCGAGGTAGGAGTCGACGTGGAGGCACCACAAGACGAAGGCTGTCCCAGACATCCGTCGAGCTCGTCCAGCACTTCGTCCACGTCGTGGCGAATATGCGTCGGCTTGATCAGCTTGATGCCGTTCACTCCACGGAACTCGACTTGGACTCGGTCCCCGTGATGTCCGCGCACTCTGCCCACGTGCCCGTTGAGCCCGCTGGACGCCAGACCGTGGGTAATGACCAATTCACCAGCCTCGAACACGACACCGAGAGGAGTTGCAGTAGGTAGCACCGCGCACTCAGGAGCGGGAGGCGCGGCGAACAGCTTAGCGTCCACTTTAGGCGTGTCGGAATCACACGGCCTAGAATGGAATGCCTGCAGATGGCCTTCCAGGTCCTGCCGGAGCGCGAGGAGGTCGTGGCGCAGCGAGCGGTCCAGAGCAATCAAAGCCGGTGTGAGAGTCGTCATTCGTTCCTCCACGACGGTGAAATTAAATGCGTCCAGCGCTGTGTCCACGGTAGTCGGAAGCGCCTTCTCCAGCGTTTTCTCATGCTCTTGCAGCTTCTCCTGCACAAGAGATTCACTATCCGCGAAAGACGTAAAGCCCAGTGCCTTCAGTTTGCAGGGAAGACGCAAGTCCAAGGAGTCGTTGACAGCTCTGCCCAAGCTCTTTGCCAAGCCAGCGATACGAGCGTCGAATTCAGCAAGTGCGCTCGCAGGAGGCTCTGGAAAAGTAATCTGCGCCGTCTCTCCCAACCTTTCTTGCAACAGTGCAATGGTAGAATTCTGTGAATCGATGAAAGATTGGCCAGCCGAAAGCTGTTGCCACAGTGCTTCCTCCGACCGCACGGGGGTAAACGCAGGTGCATCAGAACTAAAGCCTCCAGCAGCAGCGTCAAATTGAAGCAATTCGTTCAAGTAAATCGGCACTCGATTGCAATAAGCCCTCTCAGGGAGAGGGTCGTCATATATATATATATATATATATATATATATTTGTGTGTATGCGGTGCAACATGAGTGGTACAATCAATGTGGCGCACTTGGATGGTGCAAAGCAATTCGGCGCAACGAGAAGCAATGCAAGCCTAAGCGAATCAATGCAAATCATTGCAGGGCAATGCGAAACAATCAATGCAAAACACGCAACGCAAAACAAACGAGTGCAAAGCAATGCAACACAATGCGACGTGGTGGCGACGGGGCAATGCGGCGGACCCGACGCGCGGGCCCAGACGACGGGATGCGACGAGGCGGTAAAGAATGCGGCGATGGCCGCCAGACCGCCGCGCAGGCCCAAACGACGGGCGACGACGGGGCGGCGACGGGGCGGCGACGGCGGCCACGTAGCCGCCAGACCGCCTCGCAGGCCCCGTTCCTTGGAACACGAGTAAGAGCCTCTAAGTGCAAACAATAAGGCCTCGCCGAGAAGGCACATGTTTTGACTAAGGTTCTGGACACATTTTAGCCTCCTGGGGGGGGGGGCTCGAATTTACCTCCCCCTTCTCGGATCGACCTCCTCTAAAATGGCCTCAAGATGGCCCCCAAGGCTCCCAAGGGTGCCCCACGAAGGCCCCCAAAGGGCCCCAAGAGGCACCCAGGAGGCCCCAGGAGGCCCCAAGAGGTCACAAGAGGCTCCCAGGAGACCCCCAATAGGCCCTCAAAGGTTACCCAGAGGCACCCGAGACGCTCCACGAGGCCCCTGGGACCGCCAAGAGACCCCGATTACGTCCAATCGTCCCCCAAGCACCTCTCAACAGACATCCGAAGAGATTTCGAGAGACATCCAAGAGGCCTCTGGCCTTGCTGCTCGCCCCTCCTCCCCCTCCCCTCCCCCTCCCCCTCCCCCTCCTCCTCCTCCTCCTCCTCCTCCTCCTCCTCCCCCTCCTCCTCCTCCTCCGGTTCCTCCTCCATCCTCTCCATCTTAAGGTACGGCTGCTTCCCCAGCTCATTCTTCCACTTTACGATCCTCCACATCCCTGATCAGGGCAACCCGCCTGGGCATTGTTTCTGGATGGCCTGTTGGGTTTTTTGTTGTGTCGCAACCGCAGGCGAAGGCGCCGACGGCGTCACAAGTCAACTCGGGCTACGAGCGGCTGTTGGGGCTACTTTTTTTGATTGACGGCTCCAAGGACAGATCCAAGAAGCGGGACGGGCTCGGCTGGGGCACAGGGCGAGATAATTGGCTACGACGGCGCATAGGCCGACGCAACAAGTGCACGTGCAAGAGGCAACATGCCCCCCATTAAGATGGCTGTTGGGGTTACGCGGCGAAGCGCCTAGAATTAGCAACTGTGCGCTGCCTGGCTGCATTGTGCAACTTCGTGGCCTTGCAATACAATTTGTAATTTGTGCGCCGACCTTGTAAAGATTGTGAATTTCCTGTTTCCATTTTCCAGGCGAAGCCCTAGTTATCCAAATGTATCCCTTGATGGCAACGCCTGATAACATATTGAATTGCCATTCTACCTCCTACAAGATTAGCACACGTCGAAAACTCATTGGCGCGAATCTGGTTGAAACTCAAACTTTTACTATTCAGCGGTATACGTTCGCTTTCTGGCATGTTGCTCGTCACTCTCAAATGCTCTATCTGCCCGTTGCCTTCTAACACTTGCCACCAAATCTTCGCCCATGGCACATCCTTGCCGCTTGCATTTTACAACATACCCGTCGTCCTGGACAGATTGCTTCCTTTCCCCTGTTTACGCTCTACCAGTTCCGCTGCTGTATCCGTGGACATCTGGGTAAGCTTACGACTCCTGTTCCATTTACCCTCAGCATGCGCCTTTGCCCATTACACCCTTGAAAGGTGCGTTGCCCTGCGCCATCAGTCAATTTACAACGTATCGCTCCGTATGATATATAAATCCTGTACTTTGTAGCTAATGCTCGCGATTGGCAACTGTATACGCTTTCCGTTCGCTTGTCTCATGAGCCCTTTGCCCTTGCAATACCTGTACCAAGTACCATCGATCTACAGCTCTTGTCTCCCTTCCTCTCCTGACCATTCTCATTACTACTACTACCCTGCTCCAACGATTTACATGTGTATCTGTTCCAACGTTGCCGCATCTAGCGTTTTTCACAACTACTGCTACACATGGTGTGCCGCCCTTTCAACGTGGCACTTGCCAGACCTTTACCCTGTACGCATATGTATGTTACCACGTCTACGTATTAGCTGTTACTCTTCCACCCTTTACGTTTGCTCCTCGCCCTCCTTGCGCGCCACCTCTTCCTATACCTGCCTCTGCCGCCATATGGCCACGATGCCTCTACCCCGACATGTATCCAGAAACAAATGGGGTACAGTCGGCCAGTATCCTGAGGATGCGCGATAAGGGTGCAAGGGCCTTGGAGGGCCATGCTAACAATTCTCGAACGAGGCTGGCCAGCGAAAGTCGCTAAGGATGGGCCGAAGGGGCAAGGATGCAAGGGTACCCTTGGGAAGGTTGCCCATCCTTACCATGCGGGTCGACTGTAAAGATCTTCCAGAGGCCCGCACCGATGGCCTCCCCGTCCCGCCAGGGCCTCTCAAACGCCTCCCAGGCCCTCACCAACACTGCCCAGAGCATCCCGGAGCTGCGGACCCAGAACCCCACTCTCCCAACGCCTCCGCCGTCGTACGTCCCATGACGGGACCCTTTTGTTCGGCTGCACGCAGGAGTGATCCTAGGAGAGAGTGAACTTTACTGCGCGGACTTAGGGGGCGCAAGGTGGCCAGACCCAAGCGCGCAAACAGCCGCCATCGCATCAAGCTCAGCGATCGGGGGGAACCTGGTGAGCCCACACCAAAGGTCACTCAAGCGAGGGGCCACTCTTGCGTGTAGTCGATTTCGGGACCTCTCGACCACATCCCTGGCAGCGTTCTCTGCCGTAGCGGGTGGCTTCTCTCCTGTCGGCTCGCGAGCGGCCCGCAGACAGCACGGAACGACAAGTCTGCGGCGCGCCCACGGGGAGAGTGGGACAGGGCAGGCCTTCCTCGGAGGGCGGCGGGGCTTCTCGGAAGCCCTCGCGCCTTCTGAGAAGCCTGGCAGGCGATGCCACAGACGGCTTCTCGGCAAGCGCGGAGGCTCCCGAGAGTACCCTCCGCCTTCTGAGACGGCCTGCCCCCTCTCGCTTTCCCCCTGGGTGCGCCGCCGAACAAAAATGCCCGTCGCGATCCCTCCGCGACACCTGACGTCTGACTGGCGAGACTGAAGACGACCCGATCCTTTCGAGTCGCCCGTCCCTTGCTGCCTCTTCGCCCTGGATCTTTTGCGACGGCCCTGGGCGCCGCAAGCAGCCTCAAGGCGCTGAGAACAGCGAGCGACCTCTAACAGGTCGAGATGCTAGAGGTCGGAGTCTCCAGAGGCCTCCGTGGAGGTACCCAGAGACCCCTGGTGGTCTCCAGAGGCATAGCAGCTCAAAACTGCTCACACTCATCTCTCCTTCTCCCTCGCCCCTTCCCCCGCCCCCTTCTTCTCCTCCCTCCTCCTCCTCTTCGCCCTTCCTCCTCAACTCCTTGTCCTTATGAATAACTCCTCCCTGTCGCACCCGGGGCAAGTTTTTAGGGCGGCCTGGGCGTTCCGCCCGAGACGTCCTCACCATTTAGGACCCAGAGGCGTAAACATTGACAACAGCTTCGCAGATGGAGGGCGGGTCGTTTTCAACATGTGGCTCTCGCCTTAGCGCTGGGCGCATCCGTCTTAAACCTTTGAAGGGACTTCACGGATTGAGGGCGAACCGTTTTCAAGATGTGGCTCTCGCCTTAGCGCCGCGCACATTCGTGCTTTCTGGTTTAAACAAATGCAAGCGCTTCAGATATTGAGGGCGGTCCCTTTTCAAAATGTGGCTTTCGCCCCAGCGCCGCGCACATTCGTTATCAATATTTTGCAAGAGCTTCACGGAATGAGGGCGGTTCCCTTTCAAACTGTGGCTCTCGCCCCAGCGCCGCGCACGCTGCTGTCAAACATTTGCAAGAGTTTCACGGACTGAGGGCGGCTCCTTTTCAAAGTGTGGCTCTCGCCCCGGCGCCGCGCATACTCGTTTTAAACATTCACAAGAGTTTCACGGATTCCCATGGTCAGCGTACCATAAATGTTGTGATTTCGAAGGAATCAGGATTCTGAAGGTGCAGCATTTACGTTGATTCGCGGTGATGAAGCCCCAGGAACGGCGTTCTGGCACGATTCAGGATCGTCAAGATGCAACAGTCAGGATGATCAGTGGCGTGGGAATTCCGAAAACGTTGCTTTGGCATGCGTCAGGGTCTTCAAACGGTTGGTTGTCTCGACGAGGCAGTTCCCTCACTGGAGATGAACCCTTGTAGGGGCCTATGAAGAGGGAGCTTGGAGGGAGGGTTTCTTCCGACATCGTTGCTGACCCCTGGGTTTACACTGGTCCTCCTCCTTCTCCTTCTCCTCCTCCTCCTCCTCATCATTGTCCTCCTCATCTCGACGCGTCACGCTAGGGCGGGGACTGGACGAGCTGGCCGTGAGGGGACCCCGAAACCCTCTTGGTATCCACAGGTCATCATCTACCCTCCTGCGGTGCGGGAGGGTTGGAGGCCCCTTCTCCTCTTCGCTCCTCCCTGCTCCTCCGACCTCCTCCTCCTCCGTAATCCGCCGATCCGGCGTGTGAGTTTCTGAGAGCGTGGACTTGAGCTCGCTCAAGCTTCGCTCTGCAGGGGGGGGAGGGGGCGCACGTTATTTCCGACGTCATTTCCGACGTTTTTCGGTACCAGGGGACAGGGGGGTTTGGAAAACTCAAATTCCTGCAGAAGGATCCCGAATCGCCGAAACATCGCTCGAACCGCCCAAAATGCCCCGAAGACAGCTCCCCCCCGGATCGGCGGCACTGGACGGAGGCCAGCCCAATTCTTTTTCCATGCAACAAACTTCTAGATGCCGCAACTCCAGCCGAGTCGGTCGGGCGGGCTGGGCGTTTCGTCTGGTACCTCCTGACAGTTTCTGAACACTTTCGAGGATGGCGGGCCGCGCACATTCGTCTTACAAGCTTGCAGCAGTTTGCAGGATTCGTATGGTTGAACTTTCAGAACAAATCCTGCCACGACTTAGGTTTGTCAAGACGCAGCAGCCACGCTAATTCGCGGTATTGAAGTCCTACGAGCGGTGTTCTGGCAAGGTCTAAGACTATCAGGACGCAACAGTCACGTTGATTCCTAACCTTGAAGTTCTAGGAATGGTGTTCGTGCGCGATTGAGGATTATCAGACGGTCGTCTTCCAATGCGGCGTTTCTAGCTCATAAGATAATATATATATATATATATATATATTGGGGCCTATGAAGAGGGACCTAGATGGAGAGATAATTGCAACATCGGTGGTGCGTGTTGGGTTTGCACTGGTCCTCCTCTAGCTCCTCTTGCTCCTCCTCCTCCTCCTCCTCCTCCTCCTCCTCCTCCTCCTCCCAAACAAAGAAAATTCGGCATCTGCGGGTCCAGCCGCTTTTGCTCTTCGACCCTCCTGCTCCTGCTCCTGCTCTTGCTCCTCCCCCCCCTCACCTCTCCTCCCTGGCCTGCCCCCTCCCTCCTCCGACGTCCTCAGCCGCTTTTGTTCTTCGACCCTCCTGCTCCTGCTCCTGCTCTTGCTCCTCCCCCCCTCACCTCTCCTCCCTGGCCTGCTCCCTCCTTCTCCCTTCCCCCCCCTCCCAGGAGGTGTCGGCTTCGCTGCGCGGCCCCACGGGCCCTGGTCCCCTCCCCAGGGCTCTCTAGTCCTTCGCCCGGGGCCCAGCTGTGAGGGCCCCGCGGGGCCCAGCAGCGAACCCGCTTGGACGCCCGAAACGGGTACGGAAAGAATGGGCACTGTGCCCAACAACAGATGTACCAATTCTTGCAGTACCCATCCTTTCAGTACCCACTTCGGGCGTCCAGAACCCGGGAATCCGAACTCGAGGAGAACCGCCCGGGGGGAAGCACAAAACAAAAACAAAACCACGCGCCTCCTCGTCAAGCGGCCTGACCAGTACAGGCCGCAATTTGGCATCGTTTGGTACCTCTTGGAAGCGAGGGTGGTCAAAAGCGAGGTAGGTTTGTTTTCCCCCGAGAATCCGAACTCGAGGAGAGAACCGCCCGGGGGGAAGCACAAACCAAAAGCACATCGCCGGACGCTCGGGGCCCTCGGGCCATGGCTCGGGCCTCCGTCGCCGCTCCGGGGCGAGCCAGGCCTCCCGAGGGCGAGCCCTCGCGCGCAGCCGCCCGGACGCGCCCCGCAAAACGACGCGAAGATCGGGACAACATCGGATCGGGATAACTCGAAATCTTCGTCTTCGTCGTCGTCGTCGTCGTCGTCGTCGTCGTCGTCGTCGTCGTCATCGCCGTCGTCATCGTCGTCGTCGCCGTCGTCGTCGTCGTCGTCGTCGTCGTCGTCTTCGTCGTCGTCGTCGTCGGGCCAGCTCTTCGCCCCGTAAAGCGACGCGAAGATCGGGACAAAATCGGATCGGGATAACTCGAAATCTCTGAGAATCGGCGGGTCTGGAGGATGTACTGGGCGCCGCGGCCGCTCCAGAGCGTGCCGGAACGCTCTGAGAGCGCTCCGGAACGCTCTGGAGCGATCTATCCCTATCCTGGCCTTGTTTTATCCCGAGGCTGGAAGGCCCTCGGAGACCGACGAACACGCCAGCAGAACCCGGACTAAACAACACTGTGTCGTAGCTTTTTCGATCCCTCCCGCGGCGGACGGCGGCGCCCGTGGCGACGACAACGCGCGCGGCACGGGGCCCGCCTCCGCCCGGCGCGCGCGCCCGCCAAGTCCCGCGCCACTGGCGGCCTGCGCCGTCGGGGCCGCCGAGGACGGGGTGCAGCGCAGGGAACTCTCCTGCCGGGAGGGGGGAGGGGGGAGGGGGGGAGGAGGGCGGAGGAGGGCGGAGCAGTGGGAGGACGGGGGGGGGCGGAGGAGGGGGGGGGAAGGACGAGCTGGGCACGCTCCAACCGTACCTGGCATCGTACCGCTCCCACCCATCCCTTCCCATTGCACCGATAGCGCGATAGCGGGCCTGGAATTCCAAGAGGGACCCC